AAAATTTTTCGAGGTGAAAAAAAAGAACAATCGTTTTTTAAAAAAAAAAATTAAAATATTTATAAAAATTAATTTTTTCACTAATTTTTTAATCAACTATTTTTATAACTATTTTAAAACGATGATAATAATAATAATAATAATATAATAATAATAATAATAATATTATAATAATAGTAATAATAATAATAATAATAATAATAATAATAATAATAATAATATTAAATGTAATAAAAAATAAGTAATGAAAATATTAAAATTTTTAATTAAAAAAAGAAAAAAGAATTTTGCAAATAGGAAAGTGAAAAAAATTTAATTTGATTCAAATAATCTGTTACTTGTCTATTATCAATTAAATATTTAATTGTATCAAATAAATATTTCATTGTATCAAATAATTATATTTATTTGTTTTAGATAATCATTATTTGAGTTAATTAAATAGTATTTGTTTCAGTTACAGAAATTATTGGTTCAAATATAATTTATTCAATTAAAATAAAAAAATAATTTGATATAAGTAAATATTTATTTGAATCAACTAATAGTCAAGTAATCGTTTAGTTGAATCAAATAAACTGTTTAAACCAATAATTTCAATATTTAAATTAATTTTTAGAATTAAAACAAAATTTAATTGAATGAAATAAAAATTATTTGGTTCTAGGAAATATTTATTTGAATCAACTAATATAGTCGAGTAACTTAAGGAAATATATATTTGAGTCATGTAATAGTTTAGTATCTGATTAGTTGAATCAAATAAACTGTATTTAAACCAATAATTTCTGTATTTTAAACAATAATTTTTGTATTTAAAATAAATAAAATTTAATTGAATCAACTAAAAATTTTTTGGTTCTAGAAAATATTTATTTGAATCAACTAAAAATTTTTTGGTTCTGGAAAATATTTATTTGAATCAACTAATAGTCTAGTAACTGATTAGTTGAATTAAGTAAACTGTATATTTAAACCAATAATTTATGTATTTAGAACAATAATTTCTGTATATAAAAGAAGAATTTTTGTATTTACACGGAAAAAAAGAAAAAGTAATTTTTACTACTTTCATAGTAAAATGGGATCTGTCCGAAGTTTCTGCGCATCTATAGCAACTTTTACTCCAAAAATAGTAAAATTTGCTCCAGAAATAGTAAAATTTACTCCAGAAATAGTAAAAATTATTACAAAAATAGTAAATTTTACTATTTTTTGAGTAAAAGTTGCCAGAGATGCGCAGAAACTTCGGACAGTTCCAATTTTACTATGAAAGTAGTAAAAATTACTTTTTCTTTTTTTCCGTGTAAAATAAATAAAATTGAATCAAATAAAAAATTATTTGTCTCTCGGAAATATTTAATTGAGCCAAATAGCAAATTATTTAAATTAAATAAACTGTATTTAAACCAATTAATTTCTGTATTTACAAACAATAATTTTTATATTTTACACTAAATAAAAATGTAATTGCCTCAAATACAAATTATTTGGTTCAAGGAAATATTTATTCAAATCAGCATAATAGTCAAGTAACGGAAAGAAATATTTATTTGAGCGAAATAACAAATTATTAGAATTAAATAAACTGTATTTAAACCAATAATTTCTGTATTTAAACCAAATAAAATTTAATTTAATACAATAAAAATAATTTGTTTCAAAGAAATATTTATTTGTATCAACTAATAGTTTACTAAATAGTGAAATTTTTTTCTAAATTGAATTAGTAAAAATTTCCCACTAATTCAAATTCAGACTATACCAAAAAAAATATAATTAAATATTTTTTACGAAGCTGAAGTACGCAACGTTTATGATAAATGATTTTTAAAGAAATAATTTTTAAAATGAAAAATTCTCTAATTTTTTGCCTAAAAAATATTTTTTTATAATTTGTTGATTAATGAAAACTACAAGATATATTTTTTAGGCAAAAATAAGAGAATTTTACATTTAAAAAATTTTTTCTTTAAAAATCGTTTATTATAAACGTTGCGTACTTCAGCTTCGTTATTTTTTTTTATTTAAAATGGCGAAAGTATATTTTAAAAATAAATAGTTTTTCAAAAAAAAAAAAATCAGAAATAAAAAAAGGGCAAAAAAAACAGTTGTCACAACATAGGAATGCCTATTTGATGATCAAAGGAATCTCAAATCGCTTCCGAGATTGATATCAAGGAAATGCTTTTAATTCACATCGATCGAACCGTTGACATTGATCTATCCATCTGGACGAGTTTGTATAAATAAAAGTTTATTTAAAGATTTAAAAAAAAATAAATGTGATCAGAGTGCAATATAGAGATTACTCCTCTCAAAAGTGTGAGTACACATATATATATATATATATATATACGCAATTAATGAACGAAAGAGAAGAGAGCGCGCGCGCGGACGCTACACTCGTGGTCGTCGCGTCGAGTTTACAGTAAGTTTATAGTTTATGTTATAAATTATTATTATCGTATTTCATTCCAAGAATAAGATTTATTAAAACCCTATACATTACCACTCGTACCAGGCAATATATTACACTCTGTGTACAGTGCCGGGCACCGAGCGCAAGTACATGTATATACATATATTCCAAATTCACAGCAACGTAAGTGTAAGTGAATATAAAATTTGTGTGCGTTTATGAATATACACCCACTCGTTAACCGATATGCCGCGTGTGCGATTTCATACTATCCTGGAAGAATTTATTCGTTCTTAATTGACGGTCACGAATTCACGGATAGGAGAGCCGCGCGCGCGCACGTGTGACGAATCGTCGCAAAAACCACACGGGAGGATTATATTCCCTCACTTGCAAATCTACACCCATCTTATAATATCCCCTGCACTTGCGATTTATCATTTTATGGGAAATTATATTCATTTTTATTGATAATTATCGTTCTCGCAAAATGTATCTGGTTTTAATAGGACTATATCCGATGCAAAAGATTTATTAACTGAAACATTATTTGCAAAAAAAATTATTTTATTCAAAAATAAACAGTAACACGACTATTATTGAATTAATATTTATATGAAACAACTAAATATTTAATTGTTTTAAATAATTTTTTATTTAAATCAAATAAACTGTGTTTAAACAAATAATTTCTGTATTTAAATTAATTTTTAGAATTAAAATAAAATTTAATTGAATGATATATAAGAATTATTTGGTTCTAGGAAATATTTATTTGAATCAACTAATAGTTGAGTAGATGAAGAAAATATATACTTGAGTCAAGTAATAGTCTAGTAACTGATTAGTTTAATTAAATAAACTGTATTTAATCCAATAGCTTCTGTAGGTATTTAAAAAAATAATTTTTGTATTTAAAATAAATAAAATTTAATTGAATTAAATAAAAATTATTCAAAGAAATATTTATTTGAATCAACTAATAGTCAAATAATCAAAGGAAATATTTGTTTGAGTCAAATAATAGTTAAGTAACAAATTATTTGAATCAAATAAACGGTATTTAAACGAATAATTTCTTTATTATAAACAAAATTTAATAGGGATAAAAAAAATTATTTGGTTCAAGGAAATGTTTATTTGAATCAACTAATATTCAAGTAACCATTTAGTTGAATTGAATAAACTGTATTTAAACCATTAATTTCTGTATTTTAAACAATAATTTTTGCATTTAAAATAAATAAAATTTAATTGAATCAACTAAAAATTTTTTGGTTCTAGGAAATATTTATTTGAATTAACTAATAGTCAAGTAACTGATTAGTTCAATCAAGTAAACTGTATTTAAGCCAATAATTTATCTATTCAAAACAATAATTTCTGTATTTAAAAGAAAGATTTTTGTGTTTTTAAAATAAATAAAATTCAATTGCCTCAAGTACAAATTATTTGGTTCAAGGAAATATTTATTTAAATCAGCATAATAGTCAAGTAACGAATGGAAATATTTATTTGAGTCAAGTAATAGACGAGTAGCTAAAGAAAATATATACTTGAGTCAAGTAATAGTCTAGTAACTGATTAGTTCAATTAAATAAACTGTATTTAAACCAATAACTTCTGTAGGTATTTAAAAAAATAATTTTTGTATTTAAAATAAATAAAATTTAATTGAATCAAATAAAAATTATTTGGTTCAAGGAAATATTTATTTGAATCAACTAATAGTCAAATAATCAAAGGAAATATTTGTTTGAGTCAAATAATAGTTAAGTAACAAATTATTTGAATCAAATAAACGGTATTTAAACGAATAATTTCTTTATTATAAACAAAATTTAATAGGGATAAAAAAAATTATTTGGTTCAAGGAAATGTTTATTTGAATCAACTAATATTCAAGTAACCATTTAGTTGAATTAAATAAACTGTATTTAAACCATTAATTTCTGTATTTTAAACAATAATTTTTGTATTTAAAATAAATAAAAGTTAATTGACTCAAATAGAAATTATTTGGTTCAAGGAAATATTTATTTAAATCACCATAATCAGTCAAATAATAGTCGAGTAATTAGTTGAATCAAATAAACTGTATATATTTAAATAATTTCTATATTTCAAACAATAATTTTTTTATTTTAATCAAAATAAAATTTAATTGACCAAAATAAAAATTATTTGGTCCAAGAAATCATTTATTTGACTCAAGTAATTCTTAAATAACTGATTATTTGAATGAAATACATTTTTTTCAGTATAGTTTAATTAGCTAAAATTAAAAAAAAAAGTTAATTATTATTATTTAATTTCTATGTAAAAAATAACTGTTTCGAAAAATTTGAATTTCTACAGTAATTCAATTATTACCGTTAAAAGATATTCAATATATACTTTAATAGTCTTGCACGCGGACACGTAAACCTCGTTTATTAATCTTTTCCAAGGAATTATTGATCGCATTGTTGACAACTTAATCGATACATATATAGTTATCCATTTTTAATATCACTCAACGAATTTTTGTATCATAAAAAAAGAAAATATGAAAAAAAAATGAATTTTATCCACTTACGTGAGTTGAAGAAATTTTCTAATAGAGTATAAATGTCACTCACCTGAAACAGACAAAAAATGAAAATTAATTATCGTCATTTTAGATAAAATGAAAAACAAAAAAAAATTGAGTACTACGAAAGAGGCAGTAAAAAACTTATTATTTTCTCAAAATAATAATAATTTTTACCCAGTTTTGACAAATAGTTTAATTTACGAAAGACATTAGTTATACCATCTGCGACTCAGTGTGTCGAGATAAAAAAAAAAAAAAAAGAAGTATATTTTATTTTTATTTACTTAACGTTGGTCGAGTTAAAACTTTTCCTGTTTATATAACTTCTTACGCAACTATTATTTAAGTAAATTTTCCATTCAAGAGACTGATATTTCATTCATTTTCTCATGCAAAGAGACAATGACGTCTTTTTCACAATTTATTGTATACGTTGATTTGCGTTAACATTTTTTTTCTCTATAGTTTTCGTATATCTTTCAATTTATTTTTTCGTATATATATATATATCAGAACGAGTATTCAATCACGGTGCGCTTATCACAAAATTATTTATCTTTTGCAAAAAAACAAAATTTTTTGAAAAATTTACTAATTTAGTCATTTTTATTCCAGGAAATAGTGAAAAATTATTCCCACAGCAAATTTTACTATTTCAGAAGTAAATTTTTCCTGAGCAAAAGTTGCCGCAGACATGCGTACAAGTTCCGGACAATTTTACTTTGTAAATATAGAAAAAGTTACTTTATATTTTTTTCCGTATTTAAAAAAATTGACTAATTTTTTTTTATTATTTTACAAATAACAAAGGAGAAAAAGGAATGGTTGGGCCAACCATAGGTATTGATAAATACGTCCCATGAATATCATATGGTTACCACAACCAAATCTTTAGTTGATACAACCATAGTATGGTTGGCGCAACCAAAGGTCAGGTTGACACATCAAATTTGCAATTTTTCGTCATTTTGATGTGACAATCTAACCTTTGGTTAGGCCAACCATACTATGGTTGTATCAACTAAAGATATGGTTGTGGTAACCATATAATATTCATGGGACGTATTTATCAATACCTTTGGTTGGCCCAACCATTCCTTTTCTTTCCGTGATAATAAAGTAAATTTTTGTTATTAAAAATAATTAATAATTATAGTATTAATTATTAAATATTAATAATTTAAAAAATATTTTTTTTTTTAGTTACAGTTATATATTAACAAATTACTAAAAATGTTTATTATTTTCAATTTAAATTATTTTCCGCTGGATAATTTAATTTTTAAACATTATATATAATTTTGGATAATATTTTCTGTAATAATTTTTGTAATATTTTTTATAATATTATTTGTTTAATATTTTCTGTAATATATTTTTTTTAATATTTTCTGCAATTCATTCGCGTCTCTTCGAATTTCCCTCTTAATCGTCTCTCTCTCTCTCTTTCATTTTTTTCAGCCAAGAGGAGAAAAAGTATATTAATATAAATATCCACGCCTGTGTATATACACAAAATCCATGCATAATATTCAAACAACAAACGTATATATATATATATATATATATATATATATATATATTCATATATAGAGAGAAACATCAAAAACACGAGAGCACAAAGCTACCATGGGGAAGAAACGAAGGAGAGATGAAGACAGAGAGGATATAAGGGAGAGGAATAGTGAACGCGAGAGGGAAAGGGAGAAAAAAAATATATTTTATATATATATATATATATACAAAAAGGAGGGAAAGAGAGAGCCTACGTACATTAAAATATTATTCTCAGATGAAATACCGGGTGGGGCCCGCCGGCATAGCGTAGGTATATTTTTAGACCTTATATAAATACACGAATCATAATGAACGCGCTCCCTGTGTGCGCCTGCTGCTTGCGAGAGAGAGCCTCTAACTCGCGGGTCTTTGTGTTTCCGTTTTACGTTATACGTATATATACACACTTGCTGTGCATAAGACACGAGGTCGTCGCACGGAAGGCTTCAAATTGTAATATTCAATTTTAACATCTTTTCGCGATCCTTCGGAAATTCATTTTATTGATTCTTCATCCCCCCCCTTACATGCGCCTTAAAAAAAAATAAAAAAAAAATTTCCTAACAAAAACAACTTTTGTATTTTTATCGAAATCTCATCGCCAATAAAAACAAATCCTTGTCAATATATTTCTTTCTATAAAAAATATTTCTCCAGTTTTTAATTTAAAAAAAATTATTTATTTATATTTAAAAAAACCCTTGCCAATAAATATATACATTTCTTCCTTAGGTATTATTTAATATTATTATTAAAAGAAATTATTAATTAATTATTATAATTTATTATTAATTATAATAATTATTATAATTTATTATTAATTTTTATTATTAATTATAATAATTATTATAATAATCATTATAACAGAAAATTTGCATTGGCATTTGTTTGCAAACAAAAATATTCAAAAATAAGAAATTATTTTATTTTTTTAATTTCTAATAAATAAAAAAATTGTTTTATATAACTAGAAATAGTACACTGAGAAAAATATGCTATTGAATTAATAGTATTTCTGCCAAAGGTATATAAAAATTATTGATTCAAAAAACATATGCTATTGAATCTATAAAATATTTTACAAATTTTATAGCATATACCCTTATGAAAATTCCTTATAAGAAAATAATGTTAAAGCTGAAATGTTTTCAGTATAATGTTTCTTGTATATAATATTTTCGCGATTATAGGTAATTTTTTATAAGAAATTCATTATAAATCATTACAATTTTATAATTATGAAAATGTAATTATAGGAAAATAAAATTTTTCACGTTCAAAAATTAAAATATTATAAAATTAAAATTATAAAAATTTAATTACAGAAATTAATTAATTATTTATTTTATATAGTTTTGTAATTTTGTAATTAAATTTTTATAATTTTAATTTTATAATATTTTAATTTTTGCACGTGAAAAATTTTATTTTCTATAATTACATTTTCATAATTATAAAATTGTATAATGATTTCATTATAGAGTCTCTGATAATTATATTTTTATAATTATTTGTAATTAATATAATTAATTAATATAATTTTATAATTAATTATTTATAATTAATTAAAAATTACCTATAATCACGAAAATATTATACAAAAAACATTATACTGAAAACATTTCAGCTTTAACATTATTTTCTTATAAGGAATTTTCATAAGGGTATGCTTTATAGAATCAATAATTTTTATACCTTTGGCAGAAATACTGTTGATTCAATAGCATATTTTTCTCAGTGTATAACTGTACTGTAACTAATTAAATATTTGTAAATTGTAATCAAATCAAGGAATAAAAATTGTTAAACAAAAATTAGGTTTACAACAAAATGAAATTTTGTTTTTTTTTTTTTTGATAAGTATTTTTCCATCGAAACGTGTGTTCCATTATACTATATGGCGTGTTACCACTAAAAACTTTAATCGTAAAATTATGTCGCATTTAATTGCTCGAACTTGATTTACGGCCGTTTAACGACCCGATTTCTAGATTGTCGTGTGGTTGCCGCACAGAGGGAGGGAGGGGATATTAATTTTGTGTTGCGTAAATCATTAATATTTAATATATATATATATGACAGGGTGGTGTGTGTATAAAAAACACTACACGATTCCAAGGCCTCATAATACATATGGTACTAAGAAAACTAATAATCTCAGAAAAGCAGTGAAATTAGAAAAAATTACTTGTGCGCACTCTCATTGTAAGCAACTATATATATATAATTTATAAATATATATATATATATATATATATATATATATATATATATATATATATGTATATACGAAAAGATCCATTTAATTTTCATAACGAGAGACCATACCCGGCAACTCGTAAAACTGCCTTAAGAATTTATAAAACATAAATTATTAAATCCCTACTCTTTAATCATTTATAACCCAAAGCTAAACTAACTCTTCCGCTCGCCTGTTTCTTTTTCTTTTCTGTGAAAAAATATCAAAGCAAAGCTATCAACGTCAAAGTAAATGTTAATATAAGCCGGGACAAAAATTTTTCATATAAAAACTGAAAAATTCACACCGTGGTAATGCTTAGCCAACGGAAAAAAAAAAATAATTCACTAGCAAGGAAATTTTCAAACGAAAATTTATATATTGCAGTGAAGTCCAAGAAAAATTCTATATTTATTTCTAAGTGAGACATTTTTTTTTTTGCGAGAGAAAAAAAAATTTTTTTTCCTTTCTGAATCAATTTTTTTATTTATAATAATTTTTGTTTCTTCTTTTTTTTCTTGAATAAATGAGCAGAGAAAAATTTTCAAAATCATCAATAAGACAAAATTTCATTGATTCAGATAATTCGTTATGCAAATAAATATTTATTTGATACAGGTAAATATTTGTTTGGACCAAACTATTTATTTTCATATAAATTAATATTTTATTTTAGACCAAAATATTTATTTGATACAAGTAAATATTTATTTGGACCAAAATAGTTATTTGCCAAATAAATAAATATTTTATTTTGGACCAAAATATTTATTTGATACAAGTAAATATTTATTTGTACCAAAATAGTTATTTGCCAAATAAATAAATTTTTTTTTAACTGGTAAGATTCGAAAAGGACCGAAAAAAAAATTTACAATAAAAATAGAAAGGAAATTAAGAATGTTATTCATATATATATAGAAATAAAATTATTTTGGCAATTAATTTCAATGTATATATATATATATAAATATTATAGTCGAAGCGAAGTGAAATCGAAGGCTCAAGTGTTTAGACGCGGGAGGGTCGAAAACGTAACAAAGGATAGGTTCCAGCAAACTTGGCTTTCTGTGTATTAAGTGGTCCGTGTAGCAGCTATAATTATTATTAATTACACGTGCCAAGGTGTGTGTGCATGTACCTCTTCTATATTTATACACACACACACATATATATCTATATATAGACATTCACTATATATTCATATTCGGTTCAATACACTCCACTATATATATTGTATTTCAACCAAC